GCCTCCTATTTTAAGAAATGTATGAAGTCTCTGGCGAAACAACATGAGTTTAGCTTTGTTTGGGTCAATATCACAGCTGTCTTTTACTAGCGAAACACATTTTCTTTATCCTTATTGTAAACATATGACGAATATTTAAGATTTCAATGTTTTATCTCTAAAACTGACTTGCCCTCGATGAACTCAAAGCCGATAGTGATCTAGATATCCAGGGAATGCGACCATGTAATATATATTCGTTTGCCAATCACTCTGTGTTGTTCATATTCCATCGTGGTTTCTAGCACATTCCATTTCAATATCCTCCGGCTAAGAATCTGTTTTCCTACCACTTAGAAGTGGATGGAAAAAAAACCGTACACTGACAATTCTCCCTTGAATTTTTTGCCAAAGTTTATCCCTATACACTCCAGACACACCTACATATTTGTCTCGGAAAATTTTCCCAGTCCACGAGCACCACGCCGCATGCAACAACACGATAAGTTTTCTAATCCAGGAGTCCTTAAACGAAAGGATAACATTACGGGCTTATCTCCACGATCCAAAGTAGGTTATCTAGAATGAAACAATTTCCGACATGACAGATCGGCTTGAGTGACTGCATGAATATCAACTACTGTATTGGCAGGAGAGATATCTGTTTTTTTATTTGTAAAAGTAGGTCGGCTACTTCTGTAGTGTGTTTTATTCTGTTATTTCGGTTAACTCTTTGACGTAATTCCAATTTCCACACCGAGTTTTGACTTTCCAAATGTTACGGCTGCTTTTTGTAAGAAATCGTAATGGATAAATTTACCCAACGTTCGCTGTAAAAAAGCTTTTATGCATCCATCGTGTTTCGATGACTTCTGCGCCCTTTTAAAAGGAACTCGTAGATAAGAAAACCGCCTACTTTCATTTAATCAATATGCAATTGTTTGGTATTTTACAAGAGCGTCCCCTTAACTGAATCATCGCCTGTTATGTGCAAAGTTTGAAAAGAGGGCCTAATTTGGTCATTAAGTGCAATGTTATGCATAGAGAGCTCGAACTCCACATCACTCAGATAGTTGCACTGTTCCGCTTTGAGGGAAACATCCCAGTGAGGGATTTTCTCACAGCTTCTGAAAATAACTGAAGGCAGGAGGTCAAAGGATTTGACGGTGTGAGCAAGTTGTTCCGCAGATAATATTTTTTTTGCGTGTTGAGGTACGATAAACTTAATTCATCCTGAGTTACAGAGATCGCTAAAAAGTTAGCTGAACATTCTACACGAGTGTCGTTTGAGAGACAAAGGCTCTTTTCCCAGCCAACTGTTCTGATGTCCTTTTGAGTGACCAAAATTCATTAACATTTAATTTACAAGACAATGACAAAGGCAAAAAATTTTTTGATCGTCAAATTTTCTCTTTTACAGGACTGCTCTTGACTTTAATAGTTTTCCTCAACGAACTTTGTGCAAAGCAAAGAATCTTCCATGACTGTGATTTGTCTCTTAATAAAAGGTTCGAGTTGGTAACCCAAATACTGTGGAACGTTTAAAAAAGATGTCACATAAGAGACACAATTGAAAACTGTAGCCTGTAACCTCTGGTAACCAGCATGATGGGTCAGAGCGCTTTTCGAAGGAGGGTCGTAGAGCCAAAATCGGAGTGATCGCAGCGGCAAGTCAAAGTAAAGGAAATACTACAGACTACAGACAAAATCGCTTTCAAGTATCGGTTTTTCTTATTTTCGTCGATCGGTCTACAAAGCCGACGCCTCTTATCTCCTCACCTACAATATCGTGTGCAAAACTAATCTTTAATCGCGTCTTGGTCACACGCGTCCTTTGTGGCTTCTTATTGGATCCTAGTGAGATCTTTCCTCGCTATGATTGGCCTTTACGATTTATCTGGTTTTGGTTTTTGAATTTCAATCGGAAAGCGGTGTGACAGACTCTTATACCTTCCCCCAACCGAAAAAATGACCTAAGCACCTCAGTATGCTAATAACTTTATGCTCAGGTAACCATCCCTCCGTAATGCACTTCAGAGGTACCACATATGTCCGTTATTCAAAATGCAGCTCAAGTCCATCAGAGCCTAAGCAATTTGCTGCATAAAAAGTTCGGTTTTTGAACAAGTGTTTCATCTCAGTGTGCTTTATCCTGCATAATGACAAGTAAAATGTGCCATCGTCTTTAAATTGCGAAAGGAATGGGGAGAAGGGCGCGAGAATTTTCGCGCACACTACGCGCGTCACGAAACTTCTCAATGCGTTTACCATTCATGCGCGAATTCTCACGCATACTATGGTATACTCTTTTTTTCTGATCAAAATTTTGGATGTTTGAGACAAGTGTCACATATACAGTGAGAGTAAAACATGGAAAGGCTGGCATGTCATAAAACGACTTTTGGCCTGTACGTTAATTCACTCATTATATGGATATAATGTAGTTTACACTCCATTCCTGAACACTGAAAAGAAAGAAAAAAGAAAACGTTTCTCCTGTCACATTTCCCGGTTAAAAAAATTAGATGTTCGTGTTTTGGGTTTCCCAAGTGATCGTCAGCGAACGAGAAGCGCGAGAGAGAAAAATGATATATTATCCTTTTTTGCTTCCTTGCCGCTCGTGTGACTCTCGCGCGGCGTTCGTGTTTGCTCGTTAGACTATTTGAAGAAAATCTGTATGGTTTTAAATTTGAAAATTAAAGTTTTTCTCTTCCTCTCCCTCCTTTGTATTATTTGTATATGTCCGCGCGCCGAACGTGATTTAAAAAATTAGCCAACACGTCAAAAAACTCTAACCTTAACATTGAAAACTAACGTGGACATTTTTCGCGTACTTTTGTTGTCTGTTTTACAGAGTTGATAGTTTTTGTTTGAAGCTTTCGTTCGCGCAAATTTGTTACCCCTTTAATTGGAATTTACGAAGTTTTTTTTTTTTTTTTGTCAAATGTTGGGGTTCATTTAACAAGTTTAATACATATTTGCTATGGAGATTGGACTCTAGTTAGCCTTTTTTTTTTATAAATGGATTTTCTAATTTTCAACACCATCGCAGCCCGATGAAAATGACCATCTTGGTTTTGATTAGTGGTTAAATTTTTGAAGGAAATTGAATAAAATAAGATGCCAGGGAACGTTCATCCGCGTATCGTTCAGCTGAGTGTTGTGCTTTATACACTTGACGGTAGGTACATAACTAACATAATGGAGGGAGGCACTTGCGAGGTACGTGCTGTGATTAAGAAAATCGAAAGTAAGAAAATCAAAAGAAATTTGGCCATGAATCAGCCATTTTACGGCTTCATCTTGTTTTAATCGAGTCAAAATAATTTTCTGT